CATTTTCCAGTAAAGTTAATAAATGTTTTTCTTTCTATTGAGAAGTGTTATTTACTATTGATCAATTACCTATAATACCCCTTATACAAAAGATATTACATTATACATTAAGAGTATCAAGTGCCCAAATGTTGAGTACATTAAAGAAATACTTTGTGTAGAAATACCCTAACGTTACCCTTAAATAATTTGGGCAACTTATGAATTAATGGTAGTATGCAAGGCCCTTAATATTACATGGCCTTATGAGGAAAAAGTTTATATAGAGCCTAGCTCAAAAATTTAACTAGAAGAGGTTGTTTTATGCCCAAATATCTTCAAATTGATCATCTCAACATCAAGATGCATGGACATGAGAAAAAAATGGATTTCAAGTTTTGATAATAGTGTATTTTGTAACGTATTTTTGGACTATCAATTTTCAAGATTTTCAAGTTTTCATAAATCTGTCGATCTAAACTATTTTTGAAGCTCTAAACTTTATAAATAAATATGAAACGCCATTACAAAGATTCTCCAGTATTGAAACCACATTTCTCGACACTATTTGAAGGTAGGCTCCAATTTGATTGTTTAGAGCCTAGGCTCTATACAAACCGCACCTTTTCAAAACCTTAATTTTGAAAGGGCAAGCTTTCTATGCTACCCATGCAACATAAAACTTATATACTTCCCCTTATCCACCCGTCCATTCTGAATGGATGGCTAAGATTGCCCCAATCACAATGTCACGTCTCTACACTATTTTATTTTTAATTTTTTTCTATAAACTATTTTGACACCAAATTTTGGACGTCCAATCCTCTATTAAACTCACACTAACGAAAATATTAAAAAAACATTTCCAATAAAATAAAATGACCAAAATACCCCAAAAAGTTTCAAAGGGTATTTTGGTCATTATATTTTATCAAAAAATATTTTTAATATTTTTTATAGGTACGCCCCAATGAGAAGATAGCACATACCAAATTTCATATTCATACAATTTGTATAAAAATAATAAAAATAAAATACTTTGAGACGTCGGATCTAAGATCAAACGGTGAGTGGCTCTCTTGATCAAAATTGGACGGCTAAAATGTAGGGGAAGCATAGATCTTTTATGTTGTAGGAGAGGTATAGAAACCTTTCCCATTTCTGAATCATTTAAATTATTGATGTATCTATGTTTTAAATTAGGAAAAAGTTTATATAAGGTTGCAAACTTAAACTATTGAAGTAAGATGCACCTCAAAAATCCTATAGAAGAATGTTCCCGGGTTATAGAACCCTCCAAATGATCATTTCAACCTCGAGATCTATGGACATAAAGTAAAAAAAGGAATTCCAAGTCCAAAAAATAGAACATCTTGGAACAAGTTATCTGAATTGTCTATTTTTAAATTTTCAAGTTCTTCTACTCAATCTATAACATTTTAAAAAAAATTAAATTTTATAACTACAGATAAATATATATTTTCAGGTCATCATAAGGTTTCCAATACCGGAACAACATCCCAAAGAAAATTTTAGAGCTACACACTACTTCTACAGTATGAGGATAGTATAAAGAGGCAACCTTATACAAACCTCACCCTTTATATTATCCATCTTTCTTCCACGTTTGTTGCACTGTTTCATTTCTTTATTTAATTTTATTTTGTGTTTGGATCATTTATTTGGAACACTCAACTTCTTATCAATTATTTGAATAAGAACAGGCAAATATCACATAAATTTTTGGGATTCCCCATAGCCATAATTGAGAAAGACTCACAAGGGAGAAGATTCAAAAAGTAAATCATAAAGTTAGAAACTTAGCATGACATCAAGTCTATAAGACTGTCGAAGGAAATTGCAAACTAAAATTTTAAAAGAGGTTCCAGATTTGACATACCTTGAGGCATTTGAAGATGGTCTGAAGATGTCCAATCATGAAGAAAGAAACAAGCTCACCCAAATTTCATTTGTAGAAAGTCAAGGTAAGAATCATTTAAATCATACGTATGAGAAACTCCATTGGACCTTCATCAGGTCAACCAAAAAAAGACTTTGACCTCTATTTAGTTGGTTATTCTAGAGAACATTTTTTGTCTCACATTGTCCTGAGAGCTAACAAGTTTTTTCTTTTCTTTGATAATTGATATGACCTCTGCGCTGAACACATCGAAGATCTTCAGAAATACGCTAGACTCTAGGGAAATGTCGCCCCACATCTCCCCCGCTTAGTGAGACCGCCAAAATGCGTTGCGAGAACACTCTATGGTCAGTGACCGTAGCATCTCCCACAATGGAGTCATGTATTCCTATGGGCCCAAGTCCAACCAAGATCTTCAGAATCAGCCCTTCATTGTCCTTGAAAACTGCCCCCTTTGCTCCCCAAGGAGCCACCACCAAAATCTCAGTCCTTCCAGCGTATTGATCAACCACACATTAGGCCTTGGTCTCCTTGACATAAGCACCATATTCTTCAAGTCCTATTATAAACTCTCCACCCTAATTCTACAAAACTCAATCTTAACCAGTGCCCACGAACCACGGAAGAAGCCCGAATGGCACAAATCGATTATATGAATACCTCTCATCTAGTACAAGAACCTTCAAAGATTGTATTGTTCTAACGCAGAAGCCGAACGAGTTGAAATAGCCACCTATTCCCGACATTGAAAATGCCATAGTTTCTCTAATTTTAGTAAGCATTAACTCCGGTAGAAGATAAAAAAACAGTAAAAGAAGGGGTTCCAAGGAATCCGTGTCCTGAGGGGGCAGAATTTGCACAACCCAAAGCTCTTTCTATGTACAGCCACATTAGCAAATTTATCTGCCTCCATGTTTGCTTCAAGACAATAACTTTCCCATTTCTGCAAACATACCAGACAGTGTTCTTATCCATCTTAATAGGACTCATTTTAGCATTCAATTTTCAAACTAAAACCTAAGGGAATCATTTAACAAGATTGTTGGCTGCAGTTTATTTTCATAACCACCAGAAGTTTTCCAACCACCTAACATATATTTAAAATTACTCAAAGACACTTGGGCATATTATTGAGCGGTGACAGAATACAAATCGCAGGCATCACATCATCACCCTTCCATTTTATTTTTTTCTTTTTGATTGATCCCATCATTGGCCTTCCATTATGCATAAATAAGTTGAACAATGTTCCCCAGCACTAGCATCTTGGTTACCTTCGTACACACAGAATACAGGCTACAGTAACTTACTGCTAAACAACTTCTAAATATTGTTCGAGCATGTATTACTTATCCATGTCAGGAAATTCATCATGCATTGTTGGCTACAGATTCAGTGCAATGTAATCATCTTTTTTCCTTTTTTTCTCTTTTAGGCATTGATCATTTCCTTTCTAACGTGGCCCACACCTACGAGGCAGTTGATCACTGTTCATGCTACCAATTTACATGCTAGCACTTAGATCCACACCTTATGTTAAAAGAGATCCCTTTTCAGACATTTTGAACACCAAGCTGTTAACAGTATCTATTAGGCAGCTTGTTGAAAATGAATTCAAAAAATATTCTGCCTCTTTATAGTGGTAGGATGTAGAATAATTGAAGAAATCAATTGATTGAGATAAAACCACAAGAAATCCATTTGTTTTATCTTGACTATATGCTTCCATTGACCATTCCACTAGCATCACTATGTCCATCAATTATTCATAGTCATTCATGTTATAGACTAAGTCACACTCATTTAGCATGTCTAGATAATTAACACCTAAATCTTGTTTCGTCTGATTCAATGCTTGCCATTTCCTATTGGCTATAAGACAACAAGAGTGCCTATCCAATTCTTCCACTTTGATAATCGAGTAGAGGATTAGAATTCTTTGACAACTATCAGAGAGAGAAAAAAAAAAATGTCCCGCTTTCTCATTATTCTGATTTTCACATTTACAAGTAGTCCTGCTTAACATGTGTGTGCATTTCCACTTTCCAGAAAAAAAAAATGTGTGTGCATTTGTGTCCGCATGCGGGTGTATTTAAAGTAATGAAAATAATTTTTTCAAATACTGAATAATTTCACTTTTTTGCGCTCTCCATATTGTTTAACAGATTTTAGATCATTTTATTTGTTTGCCTCACTTCCCCCCCTTTAAGCGCATGTATCACTGCACTCGATATAAAAGAATACTTTAGCTGCATATCACCTATAACAACCTTGAAAATAAATTAACAGCTTAGTTTAGTGCACACCTCCCAATTAGTGGCAAAGGTAAATATGTGAAAAGACTAACAACCCACAAGCATCATATTGCTATGTTTCTAGTTAAATAGAGACATACAGGAAGCAAAGCCTAAAGAAAGGGTCACTTTACAAGTTCCAATAAGCCAACATCTGCAATTCATTAAACAGGAATTGGGATTTTATAACATGTGACTATAAAGATAGTGGACTTTGTGGCTGCTAAAACCAAGCCGCTGGAAAGGTCTCGGTGGATAGACACTGCTTGGCACTGGAAGATGCAATGTGGATGTCGCTTTACAAGCTTTAGCGGTGATTTTTAGTATTTTGAAGCTCTACAACCAACAATTTCCAAAGATGGAAAAAGCTACGAGACTAACTCATGCCATTAATGTTGGGTTCACCGATGGATACGAATTCCACTGGGTTAACTAATGGTTAGCTGGAGTCCAGGAACACTAATGGATGCCTTCGTGTATAACCAGGGGACTTGATAAAAGACATGCGCTAGGTAGAACTCTGGTTTTTATGTTATTAAACAGAGGGCACCCCTCGAGTAGCCAGTGATACCCTAAGTCATTCAGTAGATTATCTAGAAAAACTAATATGAATCCTTCAAATCATATCATTTTGGTATAGAGCCATTTTTTTTCTGCTTTTTAATTGATGTTGGAACCTTGTAATATTGTTGTCAAACATGTACTTTCATAATATACCAAGTCATACACCATAATTTCCCAACGTAGCATGCATTAATCCATGAACAAGAGGAGCGAAAGTTACAAATAGCTCAGAGATATCAAGCTATGAAAGTAAGGCAATGCCCAAGTGCGGAACTTTTATTAATTGAAACATATCAAAAGCTGGGAAGCAAACAATGATTGATGTTTCTCAAGACAAACATACAGAGTATATTCCCTGCCTCGGTAAAGTGTAAAAGATACTACTGTAATCCAGCTAACAGCATAAAAAAAAAAAAAAATTACTACTGTAATCAGCTAGAAAAAAGAGTCTCAAACACCAATTCAAACATGAAAACCAAAAAATATATAGTAAATTTGTTTGCATTGTTTGGAATTTCCATGTCTCCCAGTAATTACCCCATATCTAAAATTTCTTTCAGTACGATACCCATTGAGTCAACAACAAAGGATGACACTTTCAGACAGAAAATACTATCCTTCTAATTCTACAGTATCAAGAGTTTCAGCTTCACTTCTAAATCGCAATTCCAGATGGCTCGTTACCAGATAAAAGATGCATAAGCAAAAAGAGAATTTAAAACTTTGAACGCCACCCATTTCCAATCAATTCACCAACCTGAAGGCCAAAATGCATGCACGCCATACCCAGTCTTCCAATTATCCAAATAAATGACCTTCTTCACAGCCCAAAATGAAACCAGAATGGCAACAAACATGAACCCCTTCTGAACACTTTTATTCTTAACATACACCAGGAGATGTGTAACAAAGGCAAGCATCAGTCCCACAATGGTGTACAAAAACCCAACAGCAAATCCCTCAGCTCCAAGCTGCATTCCTGAACCATGATAAAAGAACACAAGCTTCGACGGATCGTTTCTATCAGCTATAAACATAGGCATCTTTCTGATTATATTGTGCATAGCCCCTGAAACACTGAAAAAATACACGAATACTGCAAACCCTAACCAGACCTTGGGCTCATGTAGAGGGGTTTCTCCAGCCAAAACCTTCTTGATGGCGAAAGGAGCAGAGAGAAGAAAAACTAGACAGAGAAACATGATCTGCTTCTTCGAGACCATGGGGGGTCGATCGATATGCCCCACTTCGAGCCTAGTTTTCGAATGAACAAAAGCAGCCATGCCATCGGACATTCGAGCAAACTCGCTCTGGTCCATGGCTTCCGAGGTTTTAGGGTTTTCATTGGGGCCAATGTATCGAACATGGGGTAAGGAATTGACCCCAAATAACCCAAAGGTAGACTGAGACTCCTTGAATTCTATAGTGCAAAAAAAGACCTTGGTTTCAGATGGCTTGCCTTTGTGATGGCGAGCAAAGGCAGCTGATACGAGTTTGAACTCTTGTTTAAGATCAGGGAGGTGGAGCTCTGATCGATCATGGAGTTGCAGAGCGTCGAAGAAGAGGAAGATAGAGAAAGGGCGAGAAGAAGATGGGTTTAGGAAGCGGCGGAGAGAGTGGTCGTCGAGGTGGATGACACCTGAAGGGGATCGGTCTCGAAGAGAGACAAGGGCAGAGATGAGCTCAGTGTCGGTTTCTGAGAGAACAATGCACACAGAAAAGGAGAAGAGAGAGAGGAGGATAAATAGCAGAGAGATATGCCCGGAAATCTGGCCGGATTTAGCCATTTTCTGGTTTTTCCGGTGACAATCTGTAACGGAGACCCGAGTCGTCTTCTTTGAGTGAAGAAAATGGCGTGCTATTCGGCCTCTTAACCTCTCAAATGATGCTCATGAAAAATGATCCACTGAGTTCATAAAATAACTAAAACTACCCCTTGTCCTTTTCTATTTGGAAAAAATTTGATTAGATACCTCAATTTGTACTTTCTAGTTAAACACCTTTGATACCACCCCTACCAAAGGAAACTGGTTTCATAGGGGAAAAGTTTATGTAAAGCCTAGACTCTAAACAATCAAATTAGAGCCTACTTCAAAATATTCATTGTTTTGATTCCCGAATATCATCAAATTAATCATCTAGACATCAAGATGCATGAACATGAAAAAAAAGCATTTCAAGTTTTGAAAATAGTTCATCTTGTAACGTATTTTTCGATCGTCGATTTTTAAGATTTTCAAGTTTTTATAGATATGATCAATCTATGCTATTTTTGAAGATTTAAATTTTATAACTAAAGTTGAAAATATAATTTGAGGCTATCACAAAACTTTCCGACATTAAAACCATATTTCTCGATACTATTTGAAGGTGGGCTCAAATTTGATTGTTTAGAGCCTCGGCTCTATACAAACCATACCTTAAAAAATGCCTCATCTAATAACTCATTGTAAATTGCCATTCAAGTGTTGGAAAACTATCATTTTGGCTTCAACATTGTAGTTGTGAAAATAAATTAGGAATTCAAGCTGTAAAAATAGAAGTTGTAAAAATAGAAGATATAAAAATGGTAGATATTACAAAAAATTATCTAAACCGTCCATTTCGCCCTAAAAATAAGTGTTCACAATTCTGCAAGATCTGTACCATTTTTTGAGTTTTAAAATTTATTGTCAGTATTGAAAATTGATTTTAGAGCCATCATTTCCGATGTCGAAAGTGCTTTCCAAACAAGGATTTGAGATGAGGCTTTATTTTGTTTTTATAAAGATTACCTCATAGAAACTTCACCCTTAACTACAATCCCCTTTTCTTTTTAACCACCCTCAAAGTAAAAAAGTTGAGTTTTTTAAAAACAAAATACCTTGTTCATTGGGTCATGTTTCCTACTCTCTCTCTAAATCGGCCTGACACAAAATGTGTCGGACTGACACAACTTGTACCGAGTTAGTTCGACACATTTTTTGTGCCTCCAATCATTTGTTTGGGATCAGCACAACTTATACAAAGCTAGCTTTGTGTTAGACAGGCACATGTTCAGTGTCATGAAAAATGAGTTAAAACGTTAGGGGTACACAAAACATATATGCAAACAAAATTTTTCCAGGAGAATTTCGTTTAATACATGAAATTTACATCAAAGATACCTTGGAGTAACCCCTCAAAAGCTACAGCTTTTAATAAATAAAGAAAAAAGATTCAAGATCCTAGATTACTCCCACTCACTTTACAGGTACAGACTCAAGAAACTCAAAAGTTACATCAAACTTGATACATTGCTTCATAGCATACAAACTTCTTCTTTACATCAATATTACAACTCAAGAAAAGGATCAAAAGACGAGCCAAGCTTGCTGTTTTGGATGCATTTACGGTAAGGTCTGGGTCACTCAATGGTTGTAGGAGAGTCACCAAGGTGAAGGTGAAAGGAGCCTTCAATGCTTGTGGGTACTATTTACTCTTCTTTAATAGGGTATTCATTCATGGATTATATGAGGAAGAAAAGACACCATGGGAGGGAGGGGCATGCAACCTTCTTTGGGTCACTACTAACTTTCAAGTTTGTGTTGAAGGGATGAAATGAGATAAGGTTGAGGCCTTTATATACATGGTTCATGTATGGACTTAATCCTAGATTTAATCAAAATCATTAATTGAGTTATCTAAGGGTTGAGAGAGGCTTGATCCTAGCATTCCTCATCCCCATCTTCATTCATAACTATCATAAAATGGGTGAGATTTAAACACTTTTGTCACAAAATTTCTAAAAAGCGCTTCAAATTTTTTTATTCTCATTTTGTCCTTGAAAGCCCTAATTTATTTGGATGCCTTTAATCATCATTCATTTGATCAAAACTTTATTTGTCCCTTGATTTCAAAATTAAAATGCATGGAGTATCCCACCGTTTTCTCTCTATAAAAGCATTTCAAGAAGTTACACACTCTCTCTTATTGAGTTTTCACATCACATGGCACACATTGTCCATTTGTGTGCATCCGATGTAGGCTTGGATGTGGTGTGGTGGCACACATTGTCCATTTGTGTGCATCCTATGTAGGCTTGGATGTGGTGTGGTGGCACACATTGTCCATTTGTGTACCACGCCCCACATGTGTAAACGTCTTTATGTGGAATTTTGTGTAAATATATTACTGAAGCCATTTTTACTTATAATAAAAATTTTAAAATTTTTTTCAAATTTTTTTTAAATTATTTACTATCAAATTCACTTAATTTGATATTCATTAAAAATTCAATTAGGGAAATTAGGATCCTTCTAGAGGTAGGTTATATTGGAATTATACCATTTCAAAGCTTTAAAATTCTAATATTGTAATAGCTCTTGACTTCAGTGGGAGTAAAAGAGTGACATGACTTTAAGATATTGTTGCACCGAGATAAAAAATCATGGAATATCAGAGAGTCATGAGGAGGATTTATATAGATGAAAAGTATTGAGAGGACTGAGAGTTGCCTCTAGTCAGTGTTGGTTATTGATATTGAGCTTTATAACTATGTGATGGGCCAGGGTATTGTATTTTATATGATTGATACTTTGAGCTCGATGGCCAAATTTAGCCTTTTATGGGAAGGTTAAGGCTAACAAAAGGCATTGCCGTAAATCTCTGACTCATAGAACTTTCTCATAGCATAGGCATAAACAGTTGCAAAGTATATGGGAAACTGCTCTTCCAAGGATCCACTCAGAAGAGGTAAGCACATGTGCTCAGAGAGGAACCGTCACACCATGTGTGTTCATGTTCTCTAGGTTGTGCACTTGAAATCCATTAGTATTTGGGGATTCAGAGTTTCTTATTGGTTTAACTTTGATAAGCACATCGTAAGCCCCTAATTAGACACTTTGTCATGAGTTTGTTGGGACATACTGAGAAGGTGGTTTTGGATTATGAGTCTAGCCAAGTAGGGTGCTTTGATGCCTAATTCAGATCTATACAATCCTAAATCCCCTAAAAAATATTTTAAAATAGTGTCAAAAGGAAAAAAGAGATAGGAGGATTAAGCAGAGAGTGAAATTGCCAGAAATTTGATCAGGTTTCTCCATTTTCTGGTTTTCCTAGCTATGATAAAGAATTCAAGTCGGAGAGGTCTTCTTGAGTGTGGAAAATGGCGTGCTACTCCACCCTTTAAATGAGAGCCCGTGAAAATGACATGCTGAGTTCAAAAAATAACTAAAATTACCCTCATTTTTTTTTGGGCAAGCTTTCTATGTTTACCTTATTACATATAACTTCTATGCTTCCCCTATCTAACGTTCCATTCTGAATGGACAGCTGAGATAACCCCACATATATTTACACTATTTTATTTTTAAATTTTTTTTTTTTTTACAACCGATTTTGACACCAAATTTTGGAAGTCCATTCTTCTCTTAAAGTCTCACCTGAAAAATATAAAATATATTTTTAATAAAAATAAAATGACCAAAATACTCTAGAAAGCTTCAAGGGGTATTTTGGTCATTACATTGTATCAAAAAGTTATTTTTTAATTTTTTTTAGGTCGCCATTGATATGATTGCACGTACCAGAATTCATATTCATATAATTTGTAGAATTTTTTTTTTTTAAAAAAAATATTCTAAGGCATCAAATCTAGATCAAGTAGTCAGTGACTCACTTGATCTAAATTGGATGGCTGGTTGGGGGGAAGCATATATCTTCTATGCAGTAGAGGAAGTATAGAAACCTTTCCCATCTTGTTTTATTTGGCTTACGTCGTACCGGAATAGCATGTTGGGTTGGCGGAAGACGCCATCAGCTTAAGAAGCCACGGATTTATAGAAAGTGTGGGTCCTTGAAAAAGTGTTTTTTGACATTATTTTGAAAGCCACATTTTTTTTGGGATAATTCAGTGATACGAGTCGAACTTGAGATATAGCACTGCTAAATGTCAGCTACTAACTATCAAGCCCAAGCCTAATTCCTAAAACATTATTTCCTTAACGGAAGCAAGCGTAGTCTTGGGCCTCTCTCACTCAAAGAAGCATTTTTTTTTTTTCCTTTTTTCTTTTTATGGTGAGTCAGTAAAAGCCGCAATTTTTGTTTAACAATTAGAGGAAGTGCTACTATACTGGAAGCCAAACTCACACGACGGGATAAAAAATAGAATGTATACTACTACTATCACATTGGGAAACATTGATTGTGTTCCTTAGCAACTTGGCACCTGAAAGAAAAGTGATTGTAGTTTGTTGAATGAGGAAACATAGAGAAAATCCTTAGGTTCCTTTCAAATGCAAGTTTTATTTGTAGGAAATAAAAGGAGAAGCAAAATCATGATTCAAACCGCAAGTTTTATTTGTAGGAGAAAAGGAGAAACAAAATACGGTTCATTATAGTAGTGACAAGAGAAAAATCCAAATCAACACGAAGGATCAATTGTTATGAGTGTTGCAAGGTGGGGCATATAAAGAAAATTTATTAAATATAAAGAACAAACAAAAATAAGAAAAAAATCATTATTTAAATAAGAAAAGAGTCATGATGAGTATAATGATACTACTAGAATTGGAACAAATAGTAAAGAAAATTATCATATTGTTGCAACAATGACATCAATTTGATTATTAACATTGGACCCTCTTTTCATTCAACACCTTGTGGACGAGCAATGAAAAAGAATGAAGCATTAATAAATATTGAAGAGGGACGCGGTTAGCATGCGGCCAAGCCCGCACATGTAGAAATGTGGGCTTGGTAATAATTATATTTTTGAAATATAATTTAATCTTAATTTTTAGAGAATATATAATATTTAACATGAGATCATGAATATGAAAAAATAAATAAATTTTGAAAACTAGAAATAATAATTATGTTAAAAAAATATTTAGACCGTTAGTTACAATTGTTTTTAGATAGACC